GGCGGCGCGTGGTGCTGCAGGTGGGGCCCCGGTCCGGCTGCCGCGGCAGCAGCAGCCGCCGCCAGGTTCAGGTTTAAGTTCACGGCTCCGTAGCCGTGCAGGGCGGCGGCTGCAGCGGCCGCCACCGCCCCGTAGTGCGCATCCCCGGAGCGCGGCGCGAAGGGCGGCTCGGTACGTCCGTACAGCTCAGCCGCCGCGGCTGCCGCGGCCGCCGCCAGCCCCAAGCGCATCTGGCCGTTGAGCGGGTGCGGGTGGCCGCCGGGGGCTCCCGGAGCGTCGTGCAGCGCGGGGAAGAGCGCCGGGCCCCCGCTGCCGCTACCGTCCGGGCCCGCGTAGGTGCCGCTGGCGGAGATGAACATGCCAGCCGAGTGAGGAGGCGGGGCCGAGTGCTGGGGGGAGCCTGTGCCAGACCGCTGCTCCCCTCCAAGAGGGACCCCGTGCATGGCCGCCGCGGGGGCCGTGGCGGAAAGGTCCCTCCGGAGGACGAAGTCCCTGCTGTGGCCTTTGCCGCTGCTGCCGCCGCCGCCACTGTCGGTGGCGGTGTAGCCCGAGAGGGCAGGAGGAGGGGGAGGGGGAGGAGGAGGGGGTGAAGGGGAGGGAGGAAGAGGAGGGGCTGGGGGCGGGGGCGCGGAGGGCTGCGCGCGGCCGCTGCCCCCGCCACCGGGGTAGGTGCTGGCGCCGGGGTGCGCGACCGAGGCTGCAGCGCGGGCGGCGGCCGCCGGCGCCTCGGGATGTGCCGGGAGCGCCTTTGAGGGAGGGCTGAGGCCGAGCGCGCTCGCCTGGGCCATGTGCTCGGGTCCGAGCGGAGTGATGGCCACGCCGGGGTCAGAGCTCAGGTCCCGAGGGCGGAGGTGCGTGGCTGTGGCGCGGAGTTGGGAGTGGGCGGGCGGGCCGGCCAGCGCCGGGAAGCCTGTCATATTCTGAAGCGGCCTGGCCTGAGCCGTTGCCAAATCCGCTAATCTCAGCGCTGGCGGGTTCCTCTTGCTCAAAGGGGGCTCCATCAGAACTACACAATCAGACCCATAGACCCTCACTGGGGGGACTTTTTTTTCCCTCTGCCCACCTTCAAAAACATGTATATATTAGGCTCTCTTTAACTTCTTTGTCCTGGCCTCCTAACTCTGCGTATTCCTGTTCCCACTCTGTCCTCCAGCGATTGGCAGAGAGAACACATTTGAGCTGCACAGTGGGACCGAGATTTTGGAAATGGCATGGGTGGGATTGGAGGGAACATCGTGATTGACAGCAGCCACGACTGCCGGATTGGCTCCCATTCAGGCCCTCGGCCCAGCGGGGATCCGCCCCCGTGCTCGCAGCATCCTTCGCTTTCGCTTCGCGCCCCCTCCTCCCCTGGAGCCCTACGTCCCCGCCTTCCAGGGGATGCCCAAGTTGCACTTGCAGAAAGTTTGTGCCGGGCCTGCGCGCGCAGCGCCCAGCGTTCCCATGACGCGCCTTTCGGAGAGCGTGCGCCGGCACGCGGCCGCAGGGCGCGGGGTGGGTAAGGGCTGAGGACCCCCCCCCCACCCCACCCCGGGACAAAGGGGGTTGGGGGATAGCCCCCACCTTCAAAAACCTCCGCCTCACCGCGCGCAGCGACTCCCCCAGCAGCATCCAAACACTTTCTACCTCCTCCGTTGGAAGAGCCCTGGGCTGCTCTCCGGAAGAGGAAGGTGAACCGTGTGCCGGTCGTCATACTTGTAGAGGTGATGCTAGAAACTTCTTATTTGGGAAGGACATCCAGTCTGCCGGGCGCTCAAGTAGAGCGCAGAATGAGGGAAGATATTAAAGTCTTATTGGTTGCAAAACAACTAAAGTGATTTGGCTCCACAAGACACCAGGTGAAGTCAAAATAAATCTTTCCCGAAAAGGAACCGTTTACCTCGACTTCTTAGCTCATGCAGTCCTTTTCAACGTGGTTCAAAGGAGTTGGCTTGAAGTGTAATCTCACTGATCGTCAGTTCTAGATCTGCCAGTTCCAATTAGATGTACGGTGGTGGGGGTGAGGCAACACCCGGCAGCGATTCTAACTTTTGCCTTTCTGAGATACAGTGGCAGGGCAGGCCAAACAGCAGCTCTCCAGAGGGAAGCGGCTAAATAAACAACATCCTTCATGCAGAATTCCTCTTTTCGGCCCAGAGAGTACTCCTTATGTGCGCCTCAGTTTCTTTGAAAGGGCCATAAATTAAAACTGATCCAATAAAATGAATATTTTAAAATCAAGCAATACCTTTGCTATGTATTTACTATTAGAATAATCTCTTACCTGGTCATTGTTTTCTAATATACTGATCTAGGAGGCGAGATGTCTTATTTGAAAACTGTAAACTGGCCTTGGGGGGGGGGGGGAGCGAGTCCCATCCTTTTCAAGGGATTTGTTATCAAATCACTTGACAAAAAGAGATAGGTTCCTGCATCATTTTGGGGGGAGTAGAGAAATGTGGCATCCCCAAATTTCAGGGTTATTGCTGCCCAAAAGTGTCACTTCAGCTCTTAAAAAGAAAGCATCTTAAGATTTTGTGATGTTCCAAGATGTTCAAAAATTAAAGTCAGGGTTTTTAATTTTTATTTTGTTGCCTTGCATAAAATTGTTTTAAAAAAAGTGTTATTGACTAAAATGTGAATTTTTTTCTTGGGGGGAGGTACAAAAAACAAGTTACCAGCTTGATTCATTTGCAGTCCAAGTAAAAATAGACTGCATAAAGACATCATCTTAATGGTCCCGAGAGATGGTCCGGGGAAGTTGTAAGAAATATTTTCAAAAGAACTGATTCGATGGCCCCATTTACATCGGTGTGAGCAATGTTTAACAGGCAACCTCACTGTAAGCCTTGGGAATGTCATTCCTCTTAGAAAACTGACAAGCAAACAAAGAAAACACTACAATCAAATTTCAAATAGTTTTTTTTTCTTTCGGCTTCAATGAAGTTCAAATACGGGGAAATAAGAAAGGCATGAGTGCAAACACAATGAAAAAAATTAATAAACAACAGCGACAAAAATCCGCATCTGCGTTTGGAGAGGATGAGTCCTTTCACAATTTTCCTTTCAAAGACTCAAAACGTCTCAAGCCAACCAGGCAAAAGTGGAGAAAGGACTGCCATCTCTGTGGATGGGTAATGGGGAAAGCATCATATTTGGAATCGTCACTACTGTCTTCCCCCATTCTCAGGACATTTCAAATGAGTTTCCTTTATTTGAATTTCTTGGCAATGAGCATCACTACTTCCATAATGGCAGCATTGCATTCAGTCCTGCAGGTTATAAGTAAAAACAAACCAAAAAAAAATGAACGAATAAAGAAAGAAGAAAATAAGCACAACCTACCTTTTAATATGGACTATTGAGCATTTTTATTGTGCAATAAAATGAGTACCTCCACCCCCTTCAAAATAGCTTTTCCTCAAAATTATAACTGCTTTGTTTTATTGAATTGCTGAAATTTAATGGTTTAATGGGTGAAGGCATGAAGGAAAGGCTGTAAAAATGTGAATAATGGTGCAGCAGAGCCGTGCGGAATCTGGAACCCGCCTCCTTGTACAACTCTTGTTAAACACAGCATGATATGTATCTGTCATCGATTTAATATGTCTTAATTCAAATATAGCTCCCTGATCAATTTCTTTTTATGGAAGCCTTAAAAAAGAAAAGACTTTCTTAGGAAATAATAGAGATTTGGATGATGATTAGAAAGAAAGATATTTAAGTACGCTTAATGAATATTTGCAAATTTATGGCCAAACCCAGACTCTAAAAAGATAATTGACTCAGGTAAATCGACTTGAGATGCTAATTCTTAAAAGAAAGAACTGGGAGCAAAATTTCAATCAACACCAATAAGGCGCCAATAAACTGCCTGCCAATTAAACCTGAGAATAGGCCTAGCTAGATGGTCACCAGGAAGGCTCACAGTGGATTTCCCGGATTGCCTTTCTTTATAAAAGAGCTTTTTATTTTGTAGACGCGCTTTTTGTTATTGTGATGACCCGCCTGACCCCAGGTGCGCTGTTTCTTTTTCAAGCCGTTTGGGAGCCAAATCAACCCCCCTTAAACCTCCCGAGTTTCTAAGGACCCAATAACTGTGTAACACTTCCTAAATAAACACCAGCAATTTCTAGGGCGCTGAAGAAAATAATAATAATGGTGTTGTTGTGTTTTGTTTTAAACAGGGGGGTATAGAAGTCGTTATGCCAGTTTCCGTCGGTGGATTCAGCCCCATATTTCTGCGGTGGTGATGGTTGTCAGGGCCGACTCTACAACTCATGCCCTTGTCTGCGCTTTTGCAGTGGAGATGCTTGTATGGAGACAGCAGCAACGTGGCCATCTATGGAAATGCCCTTTCTGGGGTCAACAGGTGCTCCTGGGGAGCATCGATTTTCAGACTTCCCCTGTTGCACCCCGAATCCCAACCTTCTCCCAGAGCCAAACAAAGGCATGAGGAGGCTGAGGAGGTACAGAAAATGCCGAGCTGGCCCGAACCCGGCGGCACCGCCGCGCTCAGCTGCCTTGAGGCAATAGGACCCGGTCGCGAAGATGCCTAGGCTGGCGCTTATGGCTACCCGCTGCGCAAAAGGGGGAGGGGGGCTGTGACTGAGGCTCCCCGGCGCCCTCCGTTCGTCACTGAGCACAGCCAAGTTTCCTTGTGATGGGTGTGGGCGATTAATAAACTTAAAGGAAGTGAATTGGACATTTCCTGGCTTTTGAGCCTTTGTTTGATTGTTTCTGCATGCAGGGGGAGGGGGAAAGCTAGGGACGGTGAGGTGGACAAGAAAGGATCTGGGGGACCCACCGAGCAGCCTTTCATTGCCCTTGCAATTGCTTTACCGCTCGCCAGCCCCGCGTGGTTTCAGCGAGGAAGTCCTCCTTGCTGAAGGACAGGGTGCCCGCCGGGTTTGGAGCACCTAGTGCCATTTGGGCCGCACCAGAGCCAGGTTCAAGGGTGAACAGGGTGCCCCGAGTTACTCCGGGGTTCAGAACACTTTTGGAGCCCAGCCCAAGGGCGCCAGTAGGTGCTCAACCGGGAGGAGGAGGGTTACGCCAGCAGATACTGGAGGAAGTGGAGAAGGAGTACACTCAGACCTCTCTAAAGCCCGCGCAAGGTGGGCAAAGGGACCCACAAAGGTTCCTTTTCATTGAGCTTTGTCATGCCCGAAGTGATGAGGACTTTGGGTTCAAGGCTTTTCTCAAATTAGGCTGGCTAGGCGTCTAGGCAGTGAGGTACCCTGCCACCTCTCTCGGCCCCAAGCCTGGCTTGCACTGGGCAGGTACCAGATCCCCACACTTCCGCCTTCACCACTCCAGATCTAACCCCGTGTGAGCTGCCAGCCAGCCCTGGGGGGTTGGGTGCTTCCAAGAGCTGGGCAATTTTCAGCCCTCTGAGCGTCCCTCCCAAGGTTGCCTCTCCTTCCTGCCCTTCTGAGCTCACCCTGATTCCTCAGGCTTCACGGTTACCAGCCAGGCTAAGAGTAACCTAAAAATGTGCTTCTTGCTAAAGTTTATGATCCCTGTTCCATATACATGGGCTTAATGAGAATTCTTTTTTTTTTTTTTTTTTTTTTGGCACAAGATTGGGACTTTGTAGGCGTGACTGAAACGTTGGATTTGGGGGTTGTTTATTTTGGATAGTCAAGAATGGGACCCATCCCATGTCAACCTGACCTTGGTGCTTAAAAGCCCTTCAAAAATTATGGCTGTCTTTACTTCCCCATTACTAAAAAATAACTTGAGTAAAATTGGCCTGTCATCAAATATTCTCATTTGGTTATCAATCATTTTTACCCTCAGAGATGGGGGTTGTAGGAGAATGGCCTTTGACCCACATATGACCATTAGGATTGGTAATTTCTTGGGAAATGCCTAATTGTTGTGCTTTAAAATACACTTAGAAGGTCAAAGCAGGAACCACAAAACTCTCTTATGTGTTCACAGTCCATATAACCACCCAATATTCATTTATATTGGATCCCAGATGTGCTTCTCCTCCCCCCGCCCTTCATTCTTTATCTTTTAGGATGTTTTTGGATGAGAGGTAAAAGAGAGGCAGAGGTTGTGTGGGGTTT